GGGGGAGGGGTGGGGAGGGGGGGGGTTGTTCGGGGTACCCTATCGCTCAAGGCACGCCCTATTTGTCCAAGGCTCTGCCTGCCCTTCTCGCCGTACTCCGCAGTCCCCTTTGCTTGGTACACCCTGTATGTATACAGTATCCGTCCTTTTTTCCGGCCGGCACAAGTCGCGTCTGTCTCTTGACGGTTGTCTTTGCACCCATACAACTGCCAACCATTGCCAATGCAAGTGTTTGCCTTGTTCCCGTACATGATGCGGCAAGCACGAAGTAGTTGAGGGCTTCCCAATTCGGGCAGTGCGCAGAGGCCAATTATCGGAATCCAGAAGCAACACACGAAAACGCGGTGTCAAACAAGGACCATGCGCTTTGCTACTACGACTGCTGCTCCGACAACGACGACGATTGCTGATGCTCCGCTGCCACCACCACGGCTGCCGCAACAACCACAGAGACCACAACTACTAGTTGCACTACTTGTTACGGGTGCCACTATGCCTGTAGGTGGGCAACAGTTTCCCAGGTAACAACGCAAAGAAAGATTCAAATTCCTCTTAGCATCTACACTGAGCGACATGCCTCGCAATCCGATATGTACTGTGTCCAAGGTGCGAATGCATCGAATGCAATTGATAAGGCGACTTTGATTTAAGGTTGCTCTAAGTGAAATCCATAGTTAGTGAATCGAGATTGCATGCTCATCAGATCCAAGAATCAAAGTGCACGTCTTTCCGTTTAGACTTCTCTTGTTTTCAATCTCATTCATTTTTGATATCCGATAAATTATTTCATCTCTGAAATTTTCTTCTCGAAATATATAAGCATGAATAGTTTTCAATTTGTCTTCGATTGCTTTTAAGATATTGGAATTGACCTGCTGACTCCAGCAACGCAAGACGACCGACTGAGAAGCCGTCAGAATGACAGAATCCGGCAGGTCATGGGTCAGGTGGGCTTTGTCAGAAGATGCCAGCATGTGCATTTGCTAGCCGCTGCTGGGGGTTTGCCAAGGTCTGGCTTCCTGCCCTTCAAGCGGAAAGCCCAGCGCTGGCAGCAGTTGATCAACAAACATGCCACCATATTTGTGGTCAGGTTGTGACAGCATAGATGTTGCTTGCTTCTTGCGCACCTTAATTCGGAAATCGAATGCCTCGGGCGGGCGAGGTCGCAACAGAAGCCTTTCGTGCTGCAGGTGGCGTCTGCTGCAGGGTTGTCAGATGTTGTCAAGGTAGAGGGAGGGCTTTGAAGGACGCGGAATGTCACCGGTACTTTGTCAGAGAGATATCCGCTTATGGCTTTGAGTATGCAAACGAAAGCTATATCGAAAGCTGTGTTTAATGCAAGTTCGACCATAGCAGTTCGAGGCATTTTGCACGGATGAAGCTACAAAAGCCTTATAAAGAGTATGGGTTTATTCAGATTCCCCAGTACTACTGTTGATACAAAAAATCCTGCATGACCTTAGTATACTATAGTACCATTATTCCCAAGGTATGAGGTATCCACCGTAAGGCGCACAACAAGGCTCAGAGGCCAAACCTGCGATCCACTTCGTTCCGTGGTGGAAGTATTCCACGCGTTTGTGCTGAGGCATGCCATTCTGTCTCTAGGCCCGAAGATAGAGTCCTCAAATACATGAATTCAAAGAAGGGTGCGTGCGGCTTCGACACTGGCCAGGTGTAATGTTTAAACAGATGAGCAGCGGTTTTTGTACAGTAGATCAAATATAAGTGTGCGGCACAGAAACTCAGCTAATCATTGTCCCAAAACGAGGTTTTCCTTTGAGCGCGGAAGGACCGGGAAGCTCCGCGGAAGCATTTTCTTCGTGGAAGGGCTTTCGGAAGCTCAAGTTTTCCGGAAACCTGGCTCTCAACATGCAAGTCGAACCAGCTATGTGTCATCCCAAAC